TAGCCGCCATAAGGTTTGACGATGCCTCGGACCGGGAACAAAGAGTAAGGGATAATTCAGCTGCTCAGTAGCGCACCTAGAATTGTCCTCTGGGGGGGGGTTGGTTGGGCACCGAATTTTTTTTATGCTACCTCCACCATTTTAAGTCCTTAAAATTTTTAAATAACAGTGTCAGTTTGAAAAAACCCCCCTTGGGTGCGCCACTGCAGCTGCTGCTATCCAAGAATTATTTGACTTATTTATAAGCAATTTAGAAGATGCATATACGATTGGGAAAATGTGTGTGTGGACGAAATGCTGGTAGGCTTCAGAGGAAGATGTCGCTTTAAAATGTGTATTCCCCGCAAACCCTGTAAATATGAGATAAAAATCTTATCATTTGTGCTGGGAAATTTACACTATCTTTACAAAATGCTTACATTTATGTTTGGAAAGGTTCAGATGGATTTAGCCTCACAAATGAAGAAAGAAAAATGAGCATACCTACTCAACCAGTAAATGGCGACAACTGGTTTACTTCAGTTGATTTAGTACATCATCTACAACAACATAAACTCACTTACGTTGGCACAATGCGAAGAAATAAAAAAGAAATTCCTCCACAGTTCCTTTCGAGACCAAATCGTAATGAAGGCTACACTTTGTATGGATTTACCAAAGACCTAACACTTTTATCCCGTAGAACTATGAAAAATAAAGCTGTGATATTAATTTCTTCCGTGCATCATTTCATAGAAGTAGATGCAGATAATGTCCATAAAAATTAAGAAGAAAGGCTGCATATTTATGCATAACGTGTCAAAAACCCATATGTTTGCAATGTTCTCAAAAAATTTGTATAAATTATACCAGGGTAGAATAGATTTTTAACGTTTTTGTGATTTGCAGAGTTTGTGCAGAATTGCAATTATGTTGTTTTAACAATTTTTTATATAAAATATACCTATTTTTAAACATACATATATTATATTTGTTTGTATATGTTTAATTTTTTTTGGAATATGACTTTAAAATTTTGTGTTATAAAACATGTTACCATTTTTTCTGTTTTTGTTATAAGTCCTACGGTTTGATTTTTTTCTTTTTCACTAAATAAAAATGACATTATAATATTGTTTTATTATTAAAAACTGTTTTATTGCATTTTTTAGGTGTCAGCTTGACAAAAACAGTTTTTTTAGCCAAGAGTCTGTCAGACTCATAGTCACCATTTATGTAATTAAAAATAGGGTCACCAGTTAAGGGTTAAAAATGTATGCTTCTATTTATTTTTATTTTACAACAAATAATCTCGCACACTGTAACTTTAAATTCAAATGTGTGGTTATTCTATTTACATTTTTATTTAAAAGGAATAATTAATTTCTCCAATACTTAACTATTAAATTTTTTAAGTAAAAAAAGCGTCTTTATTATGTCTCACATAATTAGGGAAAACATCCGGACAGTGCTAAGTGTCGCAATATCCTCACATTGCTTGCCGACGAGGTGAGTCAGTTTTTGACAAGATTCTAGTAATTTGTCGGTTGAAATTTTAATAGTATGGGCGCTTCGGTACAATATATTCTTTTGGATAAGCCCAGATTTGCATTAAAACGATCTCATATAAGCTATAAACCTATTACTTCTTTGTTGGGATATCTCTAAGTCACTGACCGGTAAAAAAAGTGGCCACCACTATGTAAATAAAAGTTCATTGGAAGTTTTATGCACTGTCTCATATTGCGTCTCAATTTAAATATTTATTGCGATCATGTATGCTTATTTTTGACAGTTTTGACGTTTATGTTGTTGTTTTCTGTAGTCGCTGTTTATCTTCTTAAGTTGAAAACATTCAATTAAACAGTAATTTAGCTTTTCAAACGTGGATTTCGACTACGTGAATAATAGAATATGGTGAATAGAATAAAGATATGGTATAATCTACAGTAGATGTTATTCGAATTATTGCATTGCTACAAGACGGAAGAAGTCAAGTTTATGTATCCGAAACTTTAGGCATTCCGAGAACTACATTTCGGAGACCTTTCCATCGCTTTATACAGACTGGTACATACTGGCGTCGGTCTGGTGCCGATCGTAGGAGAGTTACCTTGCAAAGAGATGATCGTTTTATATTGATGGAGCTTTTAACAAATCGCGATTCTACTGCAATTGTTGCAAGAAAACGTTGCAGGAGGTTCGAAATGTGAATGTAAGTGAGAGAACGGTTAGAACACGCCTTAAAAGAGGACTAATGGCAAGAAGGCCGATTATTGTTCCTGAATTACAACCCAGACACTGTAGAACTTTACTGATGAATCGCGGTTCTGTTTGAAGTCTGGTGATGGCCGAGAGAGGGTCTGGAGAAATGGAATATATGCCCAAGCTTTAATGTCGCAGAGAAGAAAGTTTGGTAGTGGTGATGTCATGGTTTGGGCTGGAATCTCATTTAAAGTTCGAACTGAACTTATTTTCACTAATGACCCTCTGAATGCTCACGGAATATGGAGGATGTTTTGGCAGAAGCAGTAGTTCCATTTGGTCCATTTATTGGGGACAATTTCGTCTTTATGCATGATAGTGCACGGCCGCATACTGCAAGAAACGTGACAAATTACTTGGGGAAAGTAGGATTTAATACTCGAGAATGGCCAGCCTGTAGCCCTGATCTTAATATCATCAAACATCTTTGAGATGAACTTCTGGGTTAGAAGTCAACCGGGCCAGCCAGAAAGTCTTGCAGAACTTCAAAATATGCTTCGTGAATATAAATATAAACGTATTCCTTAAGTTTTTATTCAAAATTTGTTCCTTTCCCTTCCAAATCGCATGCAAATGGTTATTTACGTTTTAGTGCATAATACCCGATATTAGACAAATTTGTTCAAGTTCACTCGTAATTTTTATTGTTAGTAATTCATTTCGATATTACGCTATTTTCTTTTGTAGCCTTCTAATTAAATAAAATTATGCTAAGGAATCAAGCAGTAATGGCCATATTTTATTTTAAAAATGAAAGATGTTGAGTATACAATATGAAACAGTGTATAAAACTTGCAATGAATTTTTATTTTCGGAAATTTATAAGGTGGCCACTTTTTTTGCCGGTCAGTGTATGTCTCATAATTGACTATAGGAAGCTTTTCTCTCATTCTCACCCAGTCCGACTTAGGAGACATACACACATTATATTCAACGCTATAATATGTATAATATATAATATAATGTGTGTATGTCTCCTAAGTCGGACTGGCTGAGAATGAGAGGAAAGTTAGTAGGTATCGGCATAGCTCGCAAAAGGGTAAAAAATATAATAAAATATGTGTATAAGATGGAAGGCAACCATTATACGTACTTCTGACTATTGGCCGTCTTCACTACGGTGCAGCCAAGTTAGAAAAGGAGCATGTTAGCTTGGGAAAGGATCACTACAGGAGGAATGCGACCAATTTGTGACAATAATGTTAGATTCCGGAGAATTCCAGAGTAACAACAACACCTTCACGGAGGAAGCTAAGCTACCTCTGAGGAAAGGAATGTCAAACGCTTAAAACGTTTCAAACAAAAAAAGGTTAATGCGAGTAAATCGTGATATATGTGAATATAGGAAATCTCCTAACAAATACCTCAATTCAGATTGCCGCATATGCCCAAAAAATAGAATTGCCTCGCAAAATAGAAGAGGCGGCAGAACAAAGCTTGTTTTTACTGGCTCATGCGTTCTGCTCCAAAAAAAACACACGAGATCGAAAATCAGGGTCTACAAAACTGTTATACGTTATGGATGCGAGACATGTGTGATGACACAAAACTAAAGCTGGAAGTCTTCGAAAGAAAAGTGCTAAGGAAGATTTTTGGACCTATTAACGAACGCGGAGTATGGAGATCGAGGTACAACCATGTACTCTACCAACTGTTCAAAGAGGCACCTGTCCCACATTTCGTTTAACTTTAGAGACTTTGATGGACTGGTCATGTAGTGAGAATGGATACCGAAAGATTGGCAAAAAGAGCCCTAGATAGTAAAATGCAGGGTGCAAGACTAAAGTAAGGCCACGGAAAAGGTGGACGTGAGAACATGGAGAATATCGGCGTAGAACCGGCAAGGTTTGGAGGGAGGCCTAGGTCGATTTTTGCTACAGCGCCATTTGAGAGAGATATATATGCAGGGGAAGTATGGTCAATAACATCCACAATACGAAATAAATTAAAAACAGCTAAATTGGACTGAAAAGAATATTGGAAGAAGACCGAGAGAAAGAAGTGCTATAAGATGCAAAACGTACATAGACAGATAGAGATCTTAGAGAAGGTGACTGGGAGAATAAAGAGATGTGGAGGACGAAAATGGAGAACTCATAATGGGAAAAAGCCGAAGAAGAAGATCATATCCATTAAAGCGATCACAAAATGAATAGGTTGTTTGGTCCAAATAAGGTCTCAGAACTAGCGCCAAAGCGGTAGATCTCATTATCATTGCTTCTCATAGCTGCCTCCTGGGTACACTGTCATATGCTATATCCAAATATACGAAGATCGTGTGTCTTTTAACGTTTTTGGCTTTGTTTTTCTTCTACTGTCGAGGCATGATCTGGCTTTCCAGAATCCACATTGTTGTTCACTGTATTTATCCATGCGTTTTTCTACTTTATCTTTTATTACTGCTTAAAAGATTCTTGCAATTGAAGATATTAAACTAATCCCTTTATAGTTATTAGTCGATCTCTTGTCTCCTTTTTTAAATATGGTGTTGACATTTACGATAGAGTCAATTGACTTTGAATAGATTTCCTCTTTTTAAAGTAATTATTATTTTAATAGGAATAAGCCACAATTAAAGGTTAAAATAAGTTTATTGACGTTTGACATTAATCCAACTTGTAAATACAATACACTTTGGAGACGGCTATCGCTCTATTCCCGTTCTGATATACTTAGTATATGAGATACCATTACTTCATGGAATTGACAGATTTTTCAATTCAAACATTACTAATACATTACTAAAACAAAAGACATTACTAATAAGGACTTTATTAAGTATCATACAAAATATATAATTTATACACTTAAAATTAGGTGTAGAATTCTGATTTAATATTATCTAATTAAAAAAATAAGTAAATATATGAAGTACATTCAATGTAACACATATTTATGCGTAACGTTGGGCTATAATCTTATAATATGTTAACATCTATTTTATATACGTCTCCAGTTTTAAACAGTCAAAATAATCAATCAAACAATAAATAAGTAGAAATCACAAACTCACTTTCCCTAAGCAATTTAAATTACTGTTTCAAGTACCTTTGGTATATTTTTTGACTAAAAACTGCAGCGCCAGGATGAAAACGATAAGTAAACAAATTTGCTGTTCTAGTCACTCCAAGTTCAAAATACACCTCTGTAGAAATTTGTTAATTTGTACCATAAATTTCTATTATACGAAACTAACTTTCAAAATGAAATTAAAGAATTAACACGAAGATATTTTAAACAATATGTAAGTTGTCTATGGAATATGCAATTCTTGGTTGAGCTATCACAGCAAACTAAATAAATTATTCGTAAAAATCTGTTACATGCTACTTCAATATAACTCAATTAATAAAACATAACACAATATTATTCCAGTAAATCTAACCAAAATCAGGTACTGTCGCCGATGAGTTTGTGATATCTTAATGACATGGATTAAAACTCCTTTAGTAGGATGAAGCAATACATAACTTGAAACATAAGGATATTTCAAAGTAGCCATATAATAAAATCAATTTATAACATTTATGACTATCAAACTGATTACAGTAACTCTGACTAATACTCCACATATAGAAAAATCCTAAATTTAACAGGATAAGTGTATGTACACCTAATTGGATGGACATCAGTACCCCTCGGTGGTACCAAGAGAAAATCTTGTGAACTGCCAAGTAGTACCAGAACTATATTTTATCTTTATTTATTATCATAGAACAATTTTACAAATACCATTCGGTTTCTCGTGGGAAAACCAAAATACTAGTACATTGAAACTTGACCACCCAAGTGGGTGGATCTCAGTTTTTCAGTAAAATACAAAATCAATGTTCACCCTTTTGTAGTTAACTTCGCGTAAAGGATAACTTACTCTTTTCACGTTCAATTATATTTTAGATCATGCTACAATAAAATAGTTTTTTATTGTCCAGATCCCCTCGTAATACCGTATGAAATAAAATTGGCTACACAATCATCAGTGAGCGTTACAGAAATACAGTAAAAGCTGTAAAAACTTTTCCTGGTGCCGATGCCATCTGATCAGTCTCTTGTTGACCGAATTAAAATTAAAGCTTAAACGGATAAAACAACAGCGATCTTCTAGCAAACTATTATTAGAAACAACAATCAGGTGATTGCAAACAATCTAGAGAACAAGATTTTAATCTAATGGACAAAGGATGCAAATTTAAAAATCAAAACGTCGAAATATTCAAATTAATACGCAGATGAGAACTAAAAGCTCGCATTGAAAAAACCAGAAGCTCTTTCAATAACCTTAGGAAGATTCTGTGCAACTTATAAGAGACGTCCTGGACGTATATCCTGGCTGGCCAATCTTAGGAAACGGACTGGTCTAACGTCAACTGATCTTTTTTGAGCTGCTGTGAATTGAATAAGATGGGTCAATGTGGTCGCCAACATCACTAGAAGATAGGCATATTTAGAAGAAGAGAACTAAAACAGGAGATGCAATAGAAACATATTTCGAAAACAAATGTATGGTAATTGAAGAGTTACATGGAAAACGTGATGCATTTAATATGAATAAAAAATAAAAGTCAGTACAAAAATCATACAAATAACATCGTTGATAGAGAAACCGAACTGATTATCACTGATTTGGATAGAATAGACAGATGGGAAGAGTACATTGAGGAACTATTTCATAATGAAAGGCCTGATCTTGAAATGAAAGAAATAGTGACAAGACCTAACATAACATGGACAAAATTGAACGAGCAATAAGAATAGCAAATACCAGAAAAGAGACGGGGCCAGATGAAATACGGAGTGAAATATAAACTCTTCGAAAGTTCAGGTAAAACATGTCTCCTTGATCTTCTTAATCTATCTATCTATCTAATTAGCCTTCTTCGGTCCATCTTTTGACATAGGCCTCCCCAATCCTTCTCCATTCTTCTCTGTCTGTCCCTACAGTCATCCACCTAGAGCCCTCGTGCTTCTTGATATCATCTGCCCATCTCATTTGGGGCCTTCCTCTGCTTCGTTTATATTCCCACGGTCTCCAACTTCCATACTTGTTCCAAGAATTTTGTTCCATACTTGATCTTCTTAATACAATAAACGAAACTGACTATATACCCACGGATTGGCTGTTATTGATATTTGTGATGATACTTCTAAACCTTTCAAGTCCTCTGCAAAACAGTCACTCTGCCACACAGTCCTTCCATCTTCTTGGTTTCCTCCTCCTTTCCTTAAAAGGATCTTCTTCGTCTAAACCTTTCTCCCTAAAGTTCTTTGCTACAATCCTTCAAGAACGTCATGGCTTAGAAACCTGAGGGAATGGTTTAATAGATCCTCTGCATCATTTTTCTGAGCTACTGTCAATAAAATAGTATAGCCAAGGCACAATAACCGAGCAGGGCACAAGAAGAAGTAGAAGACTACCCAACCATATGGGTGTACACTTTACTTTAAAATAACGTTTTTTCAGTAACGTAGGTTTCTGTTATTACATTTGAAGTCAAAACGTAGTTACTCGATTTCAACCACAAATGTTGTCTTATTAATTTAATTATCAGCTCATTGTTGTGCATTCAATTGGGTGAGCAAAAATTTGAGTTTTATTGTTCACCCATTTGGGGTAGATACACACAATATTTTGAGTTTATGGAATAAACGTCTGGCACTTAACCTGCTAGTTTACAGAAACTACTTCGTTTTAAGGATCTAACTTGAAAGCCAAATTAAAAAACTTATGGTCTCTATAAAGTAAATTTATTTTCTATAGTATATGGTATACTTTTAAGAAATTGATTCTTATATAATTTAAAAATTTATGTATAGTAAACTTTCTTTAATCCGGAATCTGAAGAACGCCAGATGTATCTTGGAAAAGCACTGTTTACATACATACTTTAAAAATTTATAAATAATAGTGTACATATTTTTTAAAAAGCTTATAGACTCATGAAGATCTTTTTAATTTGACCGACTAAATCCTTATAAATTAAAGTCCGACAATTCCTGGCGACTAGTGATTCTTTCGTTTTTATCTCGTTAGTTATATATATTGCACAACGATAACTGTGATGTGTAAATATCTCAATTTTCTTTGGATTAGCATTCTTCACATTTTTCTTTGACAAACACGACACTAAAGACATGTCTGATCATAAAAGGCGTACATGACTATAAAACGCTGGATTAGAAGTTAGCTGTATATGGAGTTAACGCCTTTAATGGCTTCATCCATAAAGGGCAGTTCTCCGTCTAGCAATTTCAATAACCGATTTAAATTTTCCAGATCTGCTGCTTATTATTTCCAACTACCGTTGACAGAAATTTGACGGTTGAACATGTCAAGAGAATCGCCAAATTTTCCGTTATTAAGGTAAAGTTCCCCTAGTTTTAATACAAGTGTACAAATAAATTAGGTCATCAAATTGACAATATGACTACTTCAAATTTAGAGATATGTATTTTTAAAAATATAAGCTTATGTTTTAATATCACTTCAACCTAATTACATAAAAGTTCACTGTATGAAAAAATGCATGGTAATCAATTACCGAGGCACTGTATATTCTACAGATACATAAAACGTGTTTCTTAAGTACAATCAACAACTGATGCTATGAACATTAGGAAGTATTATCATCACAGCATTCATATTAGGCGGTTGTTCGTTCTAGGCATTTTTTCATGCAGTTTTGGTCAAAATAAACTCTACCGGAAGGCACATTGTACTGTATATTGTTAAAAAATTATTATTTTATGGCATCTGAGGAAATTTTTAAATCCTACATCCATTCGACTACATAATCTCTTTACATTATAATACAATAAATAGAAAAAAAAGTCTATTTCTTCCAAATGTAAAATTGTATCAAAATTTAAATACTGCAATGTGGCAGATATAGTTATCGCAAGTCTTTTTCTCGGAATGATATCTAATACAAAAAATTTATATGGCTTCACAAAACTAAGTACTACTAAAAACAGAGAGCAAAACTGTACTTCAGGGAAACATCACAGAAAATAGTTTTTGTATCAAAATTAAGAGAGATGGATCACAACTTAACTTAGGTAAAAAATGAAATGTCTTTCTAAAGCACATACAAATAAATAAAATGAATAAATGAAATACGAACTTTAAAGCCAACATAAATTTATACCAAACAATTAATCTTTACACAATTTAGTTGATTACTATATAATCAAGATCCTGTCTATGTGACCTCACATCATAACTAGTATGTACATAAAAAGGATGTTCAGATATTCAAGCTGCAGCCCAGAATTTGTGCTGAGTTTTATTATTCGAATATTTTATGAGAATAAGATTAGCAAATTTTCTCTGCGCAAAGCCTGTTTATTAAGAAATAATTTTCCCTCTACGACGTCACTCAATAATAAATTTTAAAATTTTTAATTTGATCGAAAATTCTAATTTGTTTAGTCTTTAATGGAGCTTGTTTTTCACTCGGATAATTTAAGACAACCAAGCAGGATGATGACTCTTTGTATTAATGGCACAATTAGCTACACTAGTATCCAAAATTCTGGAAACTTTACAAAAATTATCGTTTTTCCAGCAACACTCGTCTCATGATCGTGATTTATATAGTTTATCGGTATAATTACATTTTTTGTGTATTTCTCACTCTACGTATATTATGCCAATGTGCATGGCAATATTGGCAATACTGTATTACGTCAGGGTTTTGCTAGTAAGTCTATGACTCAATTGGAGGCGTTTAGTACAGTTTTCGTGCGACTTCCAGTGCTCATTAGTGACTTCAGGTAGTTGTTACTAAGGTGATATTGTTTAATTGTCGGAGAGGAATACATCAGTGTCGATTCAACGAAAATGACACCAAAAAACCCAAAATTTGTCACCACGAAAGATAGCCAAAGCAATTATCCTTCGAGAAAAAGTTTACAAATATTAAGAAATAGCAAACAAATTGGGTGGTGGCGTCACAAAATCAGCAAAAAGAACAGGCAGAAAACTGAAACGATGAGCGTTGGATATGAAGATCGTCGCAGATCCGCAAAAGAAATTAATGCTATTGTCAAATCAACTGGCTTACAAATATCGGATCGTTCTATCACAAGAAAGTTGTGTGAAAATGAATTGAGAGCACGAACTCCTAGAAAGAAGCAGTTCCTGAACAAAAAACAGGCAAACACCATCGATTGGGCTTTGGCACACAGAGGGTGGATAGAAGAACAGTGTAGTAAAGTAATTTAGAATGATGAAACCAGAATACCGATCTTTTGCCCCAGTGTACTACGGTCACTATAAAGCATCCTGAGAGTGTCATGGTATGGGCTTGTATGACCATTGACCACTAATGGAGTTGGACGTTTAGCAGTAATATAGGGCAATATTAATGCAAAAAAATATCAGGAAGAGATACTGCAAGCCAAACTGATGCCGACTATCAGAGATTTGTTTGAAGGAGATGCCCAACAATGCATCTTCTAGAAGGATAGAGCGTCTTGCCATACGGCTAAGAGTTCCATGAATGGTTGAGAAAACATGACGTTACTGTCCTGCTTTGGCCTGGAAATAGTCCCGATCTAAATCCAATAAAAAATTTATGGTCAAGGCTGAAAGTGTAGTGCCGAAACCCCAGTAAACAAGAGAACTGATAGAAGCAATTATTCAAAACTGGTTTAGAGTTATTACACCAGAGGGTTTGGCTCGTCCCGCGAACTCCATGTCTCGCCTCTAATTAATTACTTTTAGTGTAAAGATCCCTGGTGTCTTTAGAACCTGCCTAAACTAAATTTTTGACGATACTATGTGTCAGCTTTCGCTATAATACTGATAAAGATGACAAGTCAAGACAATATTTTGCCTTTGGTACAATTCAACAGTTGAGTTCAAATAGAAAGTCGTTTTAACTGTTTATTAACATTTTCTTTAGTCTACTGTCCTAAGTCATCAATATTTAGCTGATGTAATCCTTCTCCAAGGTTTTCTAATAGAATTCATCCAACCAGGTAATTTTCTTCCAACTGTTGTTTATGTAAAATCTAATAGCTCTTTTATAACAATATTGTAATATAGAAAAATAGTCTGCTATATTCTGTACCTATGGTAAACAAGGAAAGGACAGAACCACTGATATGCCTCAAATAATATTACAATCCATGGCTTTACCTGTATTTCTACAAAATGTATTTATAGTGCAAAAATATCATGAGTTTTTCCGCTGATACCATGTATCAAACCAGTACATCTCACGATAAACACTCTACCATTTGAACTATCTGTAGAATTTTCTTTAATTTCAATATTTGTAAGTTGTTAGGATGATTCAAATATATCTTAATACACTGATTCAACTAAATTTTAAGGTAGTATTCATTATAGAAACTTACGATTGCAACTATTACATATAAACGAGACACATACTCTAAAACTGCAGCTTGAAATTTGTACTGATGAAACATCACCTGAAGTACACATAATACAATTTAGGATTGTATCCAGTTTTAAGAAAAGGAACATAACTATTGTTTCCGTTAAAAACCCCATGTACATTATATTTGACTTGTTCTTTGATACATTATGTAGTTTCCTTCAAGTTTGGTGTTTTATTGATGAATTTTGAAGTAAATTTTCTATATATTTACATATAAAAAATCGTTGAGATATGCCACCTACAGATTCTTTTAGATGGTGGTAGTATCTATTATGTAAACGTGATGTTTACACTGCTAAGAAATATATATAGTCTAGCAAACAAAAAATGAAATTGGTCATCCAAAATTACGCGTCATAAGTATATTTAGTTTTCTTAGAGTTATAAGTACATTGTGTGTTAGATGTATACATGTGCCTTTGTGTTTAACGATGTATTGCTTTTGTTAAATATTGTTTAATTCGTTAAATAATTAGTAACAAACAAAATTATCATTGCCAGCATGCTAATAAATTTCCACCAGAGATGGAATCAGGTAAAAACATTGTACTTTTCGGAAAGTGTTCCGATTATTGTAAGTAACGATATCAAACGCTTCTCAATCAAAATTTTCAAGAAACACATTGCGTTATTGGATAAATATATTAAGCAAATTTTCTGAATCAAATGTAAAGTACATGGAGTCGTTAAATAATGGATAAACACAGGAGTTTTTAACAAATCTCGCATAAGGTACAGGTTAAAAAAATCAACAACCTTTTAAGTATTTTAAGAGCTGCCAGTTTCATATAAAATTCATATCATTTATAATTGAATAAAGTTGTTTTTATAACCCTGTATATCTACAGCACACATACTCACTCTTCCATCAATTTTTAGTTATATACACATTTCGATGCAGTTTAACACATTTTTTACAAGGTGTTCAGTACATCTTCCACCACAGTATATAAGATTGGATGGAATTTTGCACCATATACAGGGTATGCTATAAAGTGAATAAAACTTGTTTTTGGACACTCCTGTATAAAACATCCTGTAAAAACAGTTTAAGTCTACATTAAAAGACCACAATCCTTCAGATTATTCTTTATAATGACGTCAGTTACCGCGTCAAACACAAATTGTATGTTAGTTGTGTTAGTAGCACATGTGAAATGTGTATATATTTCTTTCTGGTCCTTAAGTTTATTGAGATTTTCGAATTTCATTCTGATGTATGCTGACGCATCTTCGTAAGTATTAGGGCCTGTATATTCTGGGAAACAGATGGTCAAGGGACTGCGTACAATTTTCTCTTCAAATAGATCTTTTTTGTTCAAAAACAGGATTATCGATGTAGTCACAAACCATTTACTATTGCAAATAGAATCGAAAAGCTTCATGGATTCTACCATACGGTTCATTTCTTCATCTTCTGCAAGTACCAAATCATAGCCTGAAAAATAAAAACCCATTAACTAGTCATCCGTGGATAGATATTTATATTTATTTTGATTACTTTTCTTTACGTAAATGTTTTTTACGCTATTTGGAACTTTACCGGCTGTATGACAAACCTGATATTATTAGGTCCATCAAAATAAACCGGCTGCGGTGGTTAGGTCACATAGAGAGAATAAATGAGATGGAGACGCCATAACATATTTATAACCAAAGAATAGATGGAGTGAGAAGGAGAGGCAGACCCAGAGTATGATTTAAGGATCAGGTGGAGGAAGACTTGGGAATGTTGGGAGTACGAAACTGGAAAACCAAGGCGAAGAATAGGAGAGAATGAAGACTTATCCTTGATAATGAATCCTTGATCCTACTGAAATTAAAAGAACACAACTGGCATGGGGCCCTTTCTGCAAACTAGCATATATCTTGAAAAACACCTCCATTCCAGTAAACTTAAAGAAAAAGGTGTATAACACATGCATACTACCAGTTTGAATAAGCACTTACCAAAAAATCTGCTAAAAAATTAGAAAAAATGCAAAGAGCAATGGAACGAATCATGCTTGGAGTACCACTGAGAGACAAGATTAGAAACACTGAGATAAGACATAGAACGAAGATTAGGAATATTGTGGAAGAAATTACAAAAATGAAATGGCGCTGGGCAGGTCACATAGCCCGATATAATGACAACAGATGGACACAGAGAATTCTAGAATGGAGAACAAAAATGACAACAAGAAGCATGGGAAGACCTCAAAAAAGATGGGCAGATGACATAAGAGCGGTGGAAGGCAAACAGTGGATTAGATTGGTGCAAGATAGAGAAAGATGAAAGCAATTGGGAGAGGCCCACATTCAGGAGTGGATGGAAAATGGTTGACAAAGAGAGAGAGACCATAATCTGTATAGACAGGTTTGACAAATGAAATGTGTAGTATGAGATATTACAAAAAGACTCTTATCTAGGGATTCATAAATTTTTTAGTGGAACTATTTTTAAATAAATAATTTGAGATTGACGTCAACAGACAACTTTTTCACAAAACAAGAAATTATGGGAAAAAATTATAGAGAAATTATAAAAAATTATAAAAAAATTTAAGAAATTGGAAAAATTAAATAAATTTAAGCAAAATTAAGTAAAATAAAATACTTTCATTTCATGCAATTTATAATACTATGCTTTTTCTATTACATTATAAACATTACTTACCAGATAATGCTACACAAAAGATAATAGCAGTGACTCCTTCAAAGCAGTGAATCCATTTCTTTCTTTCAGATCGCTGACCACCAACATCAAACATTCTAAACATAAAAAACATATTTTTTAGATAAAATTTAAATTGGTTATCTGTTTAAATCATATATCTGTTTAACAGTTGCATCGCCCATAAATAGGAGTATTTAAGCTGTTAAATTTAATTAACTCCATAATTAAATATGTAACCAAACTAGAGTCACATATGCTAAAACTAAGTCAAGTAATAGAATGTTTCTGTAGATTGAAAAACATTTTCAAACCGTGTTACCTTTAAGTTTCCTTACAAAGCAAGAAGAGCAAAATTTACAAAAACTTTTAGAAAAAGGAAAACATACTGCTATAAACCAATACATTTGGCAACTAATCTATCGCTGCCTTAGAACAGAACTAGTCTATGTCAAAAATTGGCAGTTTGCTGTTTTTTGACCAAAACTTTTCTTGTTACAGTGGATACTTACTGCAAAAATATTAAAGTCCAGATTTAAAATTATTTAAGCATTTCAAATAATACTTAAGTAGTCTATGTCCATTATCTTAATTTTATTTGTGCAGAAGTAGTGTATGTCACCATTTATTAGTTCTCTTCTCATATGAGTTGATTTAAATAAAATATACTGAGTGTAGAACTAGCCTATCTGGGGATAGACTAGTTCTGCACTCGCCAGATCGTGGCAGCACTAGTTTAGTTTTTGTAAACATAGGAGAGTTTGTGTTATTTGTATCTCAAAATCAAACGTAAAAATTTTACTCTAAAAACAATATTTTTCCTGTTTCAGAATTCACATAATTATGTTGAGTCGTGGGAAGTATATGTTGGCACTGTCACAACAATATAAGTATTAGTAAGATTAATATAATTTTAATAGTTCCTGTTTGTACAATTAAATATCATTAACTTATGCTTTATGTTATGTAGGTTACTTTAAAATTACATTTTAGCAAATAGTAATTTCCGTTATTGGCCTGGGGATTTTATTATAAATAATGTAGAGGAGAAGCCTATTATACGCTCAAGAGTAAGGAATTATAAAACTGATAAGGATGATGAAGAAACATCGACAGGTAGTAGTAGAAAACAATCACTCAGGTCTATGTCTTGTTTCTATTATCTTTGTACTTTTGAAAAGAAGGAAAGAGTTTGTAAAATGTATTTCCTGAATATAGTTGGCGCAGACCAAAGTGGAAAAAATGTGTGTGGTACAAAATATTTTTAGATTCATATCCAAATATTACAAAAATATATGATTTATATAAAAAAGACTGTATGAATAAAAATATTCAACAATTCCCGAAGTTGTCAATGTCTTTAGTAAACATAAATTTTAACCTTGGATTCTTCAAACCAAAAAAGGATTTGTGTGACCTATGCGAAATACATAAAAACAGCAGTGAAGCTGTTTTGAATGCTATTTTGCAGCAGTTTTTGATATGCGACAAGTTCTTCAAACGTCCCATCTAGATGTACCTTAGTTGTATTATCGTAGAAAGCTTTCTGTTAATAATCTGAGTATTTATGTTCTTCATAAAATAAAGGTTATTGCTACATGTGGGATGAGACAAAAGGACCGGGAGAATTCGATGAAGTAGTTTCCTGTATTAAAAAATTAATAGAAGAAAAGGCTCTGGAAGGAAAACAAGAAATGTTTTTTTATTCTGACAACTATGGGGGACAAAATCTCAACAAAAATGCTGTTATAATGTATAACGATAAAATAAAGATTAAAATTTCCCACTTTTTCTTGGAAAAGGGACAAACCCAAAACGAAGATGATAGTATACATAGTAATGTTGAGGGGGCTTCAAAAAATGTTGCTATATATGTGCCAAGTCAGTGGTACCTTATTACACGAATAGCATGTAGAAAGATTCCATACAATGTTACTGAAATTGATGAATGTTATGTTTTTGTCGAATTTAGAGAACATACTTGTAACGAAATGGACCAAAAAGAAAGTGGAGAAAATGCTGTTTTTATAAAATACAATTATGATGGTGTGAATTTTATCAGAATTAATACTGAGAGTAGGACAAGAAAAAAAACTTTGTCAGTACATAATGACCTGCAAATGTTGAATGCTGAAAGTTTACCTATTAGTACAAGAAATTAGAGGACTTGAAATACCTATGTCAATGATTGGTCACTTAGACCATGTATTATACTATGACTTATATTTGAATTTAAAGTCATAAGGAATCTTAATTTAAGAAATCATTTTTTATAATTTATTTTGTAATCAGTGATATTATAATAAAAAAAATTTTTGTATTTTTATGAACATGATCAGTAGTAATTTCTTTAACCATTCCTTCATTCGGCTTTACTTAAATAGCAAGTGTGTGTTTTTGTAAAAATGAAGAATATTGTTAGTGTAGAACTAGCATAAGTCCCGAGAAGCACTTCTGCACTAATATTTCTGATGCAGCACTAGTCTATGTCCACCTAATTTTTTATTAAAATAATGATACAAAAAAAACTACGTTTATAGTAATGTAAAAGTTTCTGAATGAATTGAAAAGTATGCACAAAGTAAATGTCAATGTTTGAAAAACAAAATAATGGAAAATCAAACTTTTAAAAAACTTCAAATTGCTCTCCTGAAAAGTTGTGATCTCGAACATAGACTAGTTCTGTTCTAAAGCAGCAATATTAGAACCCCATTCTAGTGGTGTTCATTTAATCAATTTTAAAAAAATTCGAAGGTACTGAGTTACTGATTATATAGCTTAGTTAGCTTAAAATACATAGATGACTAAGCAAGTTTAATTAGCCTATGACAAATCTAAAGAAGGATTTTTTGCAAAACCATATGTTCTAAGGTCCATCAATACGATAAAGCCCGAGATTTGGTAGAAACGAACCTGTTTTGAAACCACAAAAAGTGAACTAACGGTTCAAATTTTGGGAATGACTGCGGCTAGTGCAGCAACCGAAAGAAGTTTTAATACTTGTCAAAAAGACTCACTGACAGGTGTGTGAGCCGGTAAAGTTACTTTTATAGTTCATAATATAAAATTATTGGACCAGGAATCAATGGGTCAGAGGATCAAAATAGTGACCTCAACAATTTTTCTGACTAAAATTAACTTTTTTTGCACAACTACAAAACTCATTATTTTTTAAAATTTAGCTAACATTGAATAATAAACTGAGAAATACAGCAGTGCTTTTTAAATCTACAATACTCTAAGATAATAAAAGAGAAGTAGCTGATAAACTATCAGCCGTAGTGAATGCATTTCAAATTACAATCAAACAAAACTTACTTAAAATGTAGACCTTTGAAGAGAAAATTGGTCTCGACAATTCCAGTGGTCTTGACCCTAGTTCGCAAAACATCTTGTTGAGATGGTACATAAGTAGGATTTGAAATTCTATCTAATGCATTGAGATAGTAAGCAGCAGAGTCATTTAACTGGTATTCTCTTGATCTGGCAAAACATAACTGGACACCAGCATCCTGCCAAAGCTTTTTCATCAACATTACCAATTCTGGAGTCAGTTCACCTTCCTCTGCTGAGCTGGCATAGGTGAAAAAACTGTCTTGCTATGTCCTTAATAGAAATATTAAAGTTTATAATATATATATATATATTATATATATATATATATATATATATATATATATATATGTGTGTGTGTGTTTTATTTTAAGTGAAGTATCGTTGACATTTAGAAATTGACACAATTACCACAGAAATAATATGTTGTAAGAAATAGCATTGTTCTTGATTCTCTTTTTAGGTTTGTATATTTGTTATATTATTTGTACATGATTACTGTAATTTATATGATAATAAAATCGTTTAGATGAATTCAAACTGTTATTCAATATTTTCGTAAGAATATATTTGACAATGAACATTACATCAATGAGAAGCAAGCAGTATAAATAATAAAAAAAAATGTATATATACGGGCAGCCAACCACATAAAGGATTAAGTTTATTATAAAATGCCCACTGAAAAGCAACTTCAAAATGATCATTCTGAATTAGCAGATAATTTAAAGGAGATTTATTTTGATACAGATGATGATGTGATTTATCAAAATGAGTACTTACAACAGACCTTAAGGGGAGATGGAGTATTTTTTGTTTTTTTTTTTTTTAATTTTTTTAATCAACAGTATAACTCTTCAAGAGTATTAAGTTAAAATTTCAGGGTGATCGGAGCAAATGTGATGGAATTATAGACATTTAAGAGTGAGTTGAGTCAGTGGGGTGAGTGACTGAAGCGAGTGAGTGAGGTGAGTGATTGAGGTGAGTAAGTGAGGTGAGTGATTGATGTGAGTGATTGAGGTGAGTGTAAATTGATGAGAGTAAGTACAGTGTCAAGTTATCACAATTATGCATTCACAGCAGATAACAATCGAATTACTAGAGTAGATAAAATGGCTGCGGTTGCAACAAAAAAAAATGACAAAGCACATTGCTATCATATGGGCCTGGAATAGATGATACTGTGTGAGTATATAAAAAAAAATTTTTAAACATGTTTTCCCAGAATTTTTTTTTTTCAAGTCAGTGTTCACTGTATATCGAAAACTACTTGATTGATTCTTCTCAAATTTTGCACACTTCTTGTATAGATAAACTACTAGGTCTCAACGTTGAGATATTGTCCATTTTGTTGTCCATCTTGCATCAAGATCATCAAATTTTAACAAAAAATTATAGCAAATTAAAAAAATCCGTCTTTTTTACTTGTAAAATTTGAAAAAACGATAAAATGAAAAATATTTCAAAGTTGCGACTTAATGAAATTCATAAACTAACTAAATCTTTTTGGTTTTTGCCAACATGAACACCCCCCCCCCCCCCCCCCACATTAACACCAGTGTATGAGAATACAGAGCAATTGAACAATCTCAGTGACTAATTAAGGTAATTCAGAAATTTAGTGATATAAATATACCTTAAAGTTGAAAAGAAGAACTTAAAAAAATAAATGATTTTGTACTTTAAAATTTTAATGGAAAAACTTTCCAATAACTTCATGGCTCAAGACCTTCGAATCAGAATGTTTGCTATGTAAGGTAGATGCTGATGAAGACAAGATTAGATTTTGTTTGTTCCTTGTTGGAATAGCAAAGGAATGATTTGAATCAAAAATAATAACATTACGCTTAGATAACAGTTTTGAGGTATGGAAAAATTTATTTTTTAGATAGTTTTTGTGAAACAGGTTGAGATAAACATAGGGAAGCTTATTATTTTAAGTATATAGGTGATAGTCTTGTTGATTATGCATTTCATAAAGAAAGTTTATTCTTACATGTGAAAAATGACTTTTCTATTGATATAATAATTGATTTAATTGTGAAAGACATGTCAATTTATATACAAGATAATTAATAGAGCTGATGATACAACAATGGAAAAACTGATAGTAAAACTAAACTATAGTGATACTAAAACTATAAAAAGTTTCGCCATAAAAAGAATAAATCACAGACAAAACAGGTTCTTGATCAAAATACTTAAAATATCAAGTACCTTTTAGAAGAAAAGAAAACTTGCCAATATTGTGATAAAAAAGGATTCCTGGACAGTTTCAATCAGAAGAAATATATCGTTTAAAACAGAAGATAGAAAAATAACACATAAAGACAAATTAAGAATATGTATTCACTGGCAGAGAATATCTGCCAAAAATGTGACATCTGCTGTAAAAATAAAACAAGAATAGGTTGAAAATATGGTCTTTTGTCACAATTGGGTCCACGAAAAGAACCTTTCTAGATAATGTCCTTAGATATAGCAGGAGGATTTGAAGGCAATCATTTGTTAAAAAATACTTCCACTTACTCGTAGACCACTTTACCAGGTACACATTTGCAGTTACTTCTAAAAATCACATAACAGATGTTTTTATGGAATTAATTGCCAAAATCCAAGAGAAACACTCCATAAAAACATTATTAACAGATCAGTATCATGGAATTAATTCCAGAATATTTAGAAATCATATGACATATAACATTTAAATGTCCAAATAATCTTTACAGCAGTAGACTGTCTATTCCTGAATGGCTTAAATAAAAGACTTAATCAAACATTAGTGAACAGAATAAGATGCAAACAAAATAAAATCAGAATTAGAGAATGGACAAAAATAGCTGTTGAATACAATAAATAAATAATAAAAATTCAGTACAACATCATGAACATAATAAAAAACTAAATAAAAAGAAATAGAAAATTCTATGATTAGGAAAAGAGGGAAATTCGGCACATGTGGAAAATAAATCAAAACTAAATAGAAAAACTTGATGAAATAAAGCACATTAGGGATGATAAATAAGTATTAGTTATTGATAAAACTTGACGAAATAAGGCACATTAGGGATGATTGTATACCAAGTAAGTATTAGGTAGTTGAAAGTCTGATATATCAGGGACGGGATGTTTGGTGCATTTCTTAATATAGAGGAAGCATTCGAAAATACTTCACATAAAACAATCACAAGGGTGATATGTCTAAAAGGAGTAGAAAGAACAAACTTCAGATGGATAGACTGCACGCTGAGGACCTATGTAATATACACAAAGTTACTGGAGTATAGATTACCAGCACAGCACAGGTAGCCAAAAGCTGTCTGCAGAAGGAGTCTTATCTCTTCTCTTGTGTAATATGAATGGGCTGATGGCTAAACTTGATAACAACTGGCAGTATGTCCTGGGCTATGAGGATGACCTAGTCATCTTAGCGTACAAAAAAATTTAGGGATGTGTGGTGAAAAAACTCTGCTTACAGATGGAATACTAACCAATATGTTGACAAAAATAAATGTTGATATTTTAACACAAATTCCTGATTATAAACTCTCTAGGTTCTACTTGCTGACCCTAATAGGTAGTGCCAAGGCTTAACACATAAAAATATACAATATAGAATTGTAATACAAAATTTAATAACACACTCAGAGATAAAATTCTACAGGCTTTAACTGTACCTATAGATGCAGAGTTTTAACATAAGCCAACAGGGAAAAAATTATGAAATTGACAAGAAAGAGGAGAGAGATTGGGTCCTCTAAGCCTAAATGGTACACATCTAAATCTGGTGAGTGAAGTACAATATTCTGGGATAATATTAGAAGGCTTACTTGGAATTAGCAGATATAATGAATAACCAAGAGAGTGGCAACTATGCTGGAACGCACTCATGAAAAAATATGCATTAAAAGAGCATTAGCTACAAAATACTTTGGCCAGAGCTAACTGTGGAAGTACCAAAAGTATCAGTTTTTATCAGTATCAAAAGAAACAGGAAAAAACCTGTACATAACTCTCACTTGGAAAATATACACTTGCATACAACAGGGCCTTTTCATGGAGGCTTAGATGCAGACTCTATAGCAGATGCTCTGATAAAGTCAAAAATATCTTGTATAACTGCAAGACATTATATCACAGACTGCAGATACTTGAAACTATCTAGTAAGTAGAAAAACATGGTATACATACATCCTCTAAACCTGTATGAACTGGTACAACAGTTTAGAATGATCTTCAGAATGAAAGAAATATATACAATAAGCCAACTGGCCGCAGTACTATCACATAACAGACAGCTACAAAAAATTAATCTGTTATATTAAAAACATATTTTAGATAAGGACTGTAAAAAATATCATAAAATTATGTCAGAAATAAACAGTTTATTTAACAATTGAAGGGCACATGGCTTAAACCATGAAAGTCCAAAAAACATGGTTTGTGTGATTTATATTGTCTGTGGTAGGTCTCTGGTATCTCCTTCTTTTGGCTTATACACATTTACTAAAACCATGGAAGTCACCAGTTATTTGAAGAAAATCAATTGTCAAACATGGCTTAAACATTGATAGTCACAGTGCTGCAACATTAAAACAATGAAAGTCCACAAAAACACACTGTCAAAAAAGTTGGGTTAGAATTTTTCTATTCATGGTATTATTTTGTCAATTGCAAATATGACTGACGATTTTCGTAAATCTTGTTATAATACACAAAATATCACATTAAACTAAATAATAATATAGAGTGCACAAATATCAAAAAGCGGAAATCCACTGGGCGAATAAGGGTACATGGTGAAAAAGCTTAAATTACAAGGACATGAGACTGGGAAAGTTGGAAATGCAAATGCTTCCAGTGTTTCAAAAATACATCCGACACAGAGCAGCAATCTATTGTGACTGCATTTAATTTATTGAAAACAAGGTATGAACAAGACAGTTATCTTTGTGGTCTCATAACCACACTTGACATACAAAGTAGAAGACCAAGAAAACCAGAAGAAACTGCTACATTAAGAACCAATCATGCATGTGAAATACCAGTATGCTATAAAGCATTTCTTTCCATGTATGGCATTTCTAGCCAGAGGCTACAATATTTTCAGAATAGTTTAAAAACGGATGGTACTATCCTAGAGAGAAATGGGGATGTCATTCTAAAAGTAATAAACTTCATCAGAAACCGTTTCCTTAGTGAAGCACCAAATGGAGACTATGCAGAAGACATCTGGGTGTAAAGGACATTACAATTTACATGAAAGCCAGAGGATATATCTCTCTGATGAACTGAATGTAAGAAAACTCTGGGATCACTACATTGAAAAAAATCCAGACAATAAAGTATCATATGAAGCATATAGGAAATACTTTAATGAAAATTTCAACATTTCTTTTCGCTATCTGAGGATGGACACTTGCTCCTCTTGTGATCAATTTTTGGCAGAAATTAAATGTATAAATTCTCAACTAAGAACATGTACAGATGAAACTGTGAAAGAAGATGTGAATCAAAAGATAGAAAATAAACTACATAAATTAAAGGCAGAGAAATTTTATGCAATAAAAAAGAGTGCTAGATTGTGCGCTCGCAAAGACTATACTGTAACTAGTATAACTATGAATTTAAAAAAAAATTGCATATTCCAAACATCACAACAAATGATGTTTATTATAAACGACAACTTAACTACTATTTATTCAATATTCATCAACTGTCTGATGCCTATTCATTTTTTTGTGTCTATGATGAAACAGTAACAAAAGGGGAACCGACGAAAATAGAGAACTTAATAGGCAGATTAGAAAAGGAATCAGACAACAAAAAAGAAAAGAAAACGAAAAATTAATAACAACAACTATTGAAAAAAATAAGAGTATGAAATGTCTCAGACCGACACTAGGACAACGTCAGATAATATCATTAATAGGAAAAGACGAAAATGAAATCACAAGTAGAGAAAACATACTGACACGAATAGAGAATTTTACACAGAACTTTACAGATCACATCAACAAGATGATGAGATGAGACCAGCACGGAAATTAATAAAAAATGTTGGATCAGAAATAATGCCAAAAGTAACAATTTCAGAGGTAACTACAGCATTGGAAAACATGAAGAGAAATAAAGCTGCAGGAGAAGATAGTATTACCACAGATATGATATTAGAAGGAGGTAAGGAACTAATTGCAATTGTAACTAAGCTTGTGGACAGTTGTTTACATCAGGGCAAAGTCCCTAAGAGCTGGAACAACTCTAAAGTAATCTTATTGCACAAGAAAGGTGATAGTCGAAAATTGGAAAACTATAGACCCATCAGCCTACTGTCACACCTGTTTAAAATACTCACCAAAGTCATAACTACTCGACTAACAAGGAAATTAGACGAATACCAACCATATGAACAGGCAGGTTTTAGAAAAGGCTATTCAACTTCCGATCACCTGTTAACCACAAAAATATTAATAGAAAAATGTAACGAATACAAGTTTCCAGTTTTCCTTGCATTTGTAGACTATGAAAAAGCTTTCGATACCATAGAACACACAGCCGTAATAAACACAATGCAAAATTGTAGAATAGACAGCAGATATATTAACTTAATAAAAGAAACTATGAACCAAGCTACAGCTACATACTACCTAAATGAAAATGAACACACGAACCCTGTACCATTAAACAGGGAGTCAAACAGGGAGATACTTTATCACCCAAACTGTTCACCTTAGTTTTGGAGGACGTTTTTAAAAACCTAAATTGGAAATATAAGGGAATAAACATCAATGGCCGCTACCTCAGTAATCTACGATTTGCAGATGACATAATCCTGATAGCTACTGACCTAAAAGAAATGCAAACCATGCTTGTAGAACTTCATTCCGAATCTTCTAAAATAGGACTGAAAATGAATTTAAACAAAACAAAAGTCATGCACTCTGAAGACACTGTGACAATAATAAACGATAAAGTTATGGAAAAAAAGTTGAAGAATATATATACTTGGGACAAAAAATAATCCTAAATAGGGAAATTCAGACTGAAGAAATAAAAAGAAGAAGAAAGTTAGCTTGGGCAGCATTCGGTAAACTGAACTATATACTCAGAAATCAACAAATTCAATTACATCTTAGATCTAAAGTTTTTGATGCATGCATTATTCCGATATTAACTTATGCGGCACAAACATGGACAATCACAAAAAAGAATATGAATATACTTAGAGTCACTCAACACGCGATGGAAAGAGCACTGCTAGGTATATCACTTAAGGACAAGAAAACAAACACATAGATAAGACAGAAAACCAAAGTCACTGATGTGGTGCAAAAAGCATTAAAGCTGAAATGGGAATACGCTGGACATGTAGCTAGGAGCGATCTAAACAAATGGCACAGATCAATTTTAACCTGGAGACCATACCAACACAAAAGACCCAGAGGCAGACCTCCTATGAGATGGACAGATGATCTGAAAAGGACTGCCAGGAAAAATTGGCTACAAGTAGCGTACAATAAAAACCAATGGAAAGGAAGACTTGAAGAGGCTTATGTTCAGATGTGGACGTGAATGGCTAGACGAAGAAGAAGAAGAAGAAGATGATGAAACAGTAGGTAAAAAGGTGCTGATGCTGCAGTTTCACATTTACTTGACTTTATATACAATGAATTGAATTCTCAAGTACAAAAGTTGACCATATTCTGTGACTCAGGTAGGGTCAGAATAAAAATTATACAGTTTTTAGATTTCTTCATTATATCCATGCCTGCCATCGCTTTACAGAAATTATTGTTGTATTTCCTATCCGTGGCTACTCTTATTTAGAGTGTGACTGCAATATGGTTTTCATTGATCAAAAAACAAGAATTGAGTTACCTAGCACATTAGAGAGTCTAGAAAGAAACCTAAACCATTCAGTGTCAAGGAATGTACTACAAATCATTTTAAATCTTGGACTGCATTTCTGACTCCTTTTTACAAAAAAGTGTCCCTTTGCAAGCAGACTTTTAAGACAGTGGCTCATGGTTGTCAAACACAATTAACAGTCCTCAATAACCGCGGTTGACAAAAAAAAAAATAATGAATTTTCACTACCAAAGCAGTCTTACACAGGCAAACTACCTATTCCTGAACTAAAGTTCAAAGATATTCAGGCTTTGAAAATATTTTCCTCATGTCAACAATGTCAGAGATGATGATAACTAATGGTACTGTTATGGTTATGTTTACAGACATGCCTGGACTTTCATTGATTTTACTTATGACACACCACCTTTATTAGCGTTTTTTTTTTCAATAAAATATGTTAACACAAAATGATATGATAATAACATTTTTACTATTTAATTATACCTGCAAGTGTAACTGATAAATAAATTAAGATTTATCTTAACCAATTTTATAGATGTAAGTCTCTAAATTTACAATTTAAGTTTTCTCATATTAATATCAAAGGACTTTCATGGTTTAAGCCATGTGCCCTTCCATTAACATTATATAAATAAACAGTATCAAATAAAAAATGCCAAACTCTACAAAATTATTGTTATATAATTATTTTGATAAAAACTAAAAAAACTACAAAACTGCTCAATTTTGTTATTTTTAATAAACTTTCCCAGATTTGACTTCCAAAAAACTGAATTAATCAGTTTTTAGATATAATAACCACAAATTTTATCATTGCATCATTTGTAAGTGTAGGAGGAAAATATTTTGCAAGTGGAAACAAAAGTTAAATGTATACAGTGAAAAAGTATGAATCAACCACTTCATATATGTAGATGTACCAATAAAATTTCCCAGTTGTAGAAGTGTTTAATTAGTAATAGTCAGTTTATGAATCACCAGTTTGAGTGTAAATGGAATGGGTGATAAAAATTCTGGGAATATGTTTTCAATTGTGATAAGACTGATAATTATGTAATTTGATGTATCTATCCAGAATTTTCTAAGAACTAACTATTTTTAAAGTACTTACAGCTTTACTAGGATCAGCAAAATCAATCCCCAATTGGCCCATAGCTCTTATTATGGCTATTAAACTTTGTATAGTATTGCTGTAAACAACTGGTCTGTATTGTTCACATTCTTCTGGTGTGTATCCCAACTCATGAATTATTTTCATTTGCTTAACAATGGTACTTTTGCCTGACTCTCCAGCTCCTACAATAAAATAGGTTTATAAGGAATACATAAACAAGTTCACTAATACAAAATACTTAAAAACACACTTATATAGTTGTCTGGTCTGAAGGGGATATTCCAAACAAATTAATTGAAAGTGAAAGAATCAAATTACTCATTTTCAGAGTAATAAATGTACTTTGATACAAATAGAGACTAGATTTAAAAATAACTTAATACACTAAACATTCATGTAAATATATAGCACTTTTGATGCTCATTTAAATGGGCTATTACAACCATATACAGAGATAATAGACACAATAAAGTGTACAAAAAGCTTAGTTGAAAATTTGGTCTGGGGGACTATTGAATGATAAATAAAGAATACACAAATTTAATCAATAAAGTGGCATTATAATTAGGAGTAAGAGTGGATAGGACTATCATAGTGTTAAAACATAACATTTATTGTAATCGAAAATATGTAATACAGAACTTCAACTTACCCAGTAGTAACAATTTCACTTCACTGGCAGCCTTTTCTCCAGCTGCTCGGAGATCCCGGTCAATCTTTCTGGATCTAGCTAGAGCAGCTTTTTCCCCAGTTGTACTCACCGCACAACCCATTTTATTTTTGAATTTCTTCGATACTTTCACACTTGTTGCTATTCCTTCAGATAAAACGACTCCACCCGCTCAGTAAAAACATTTCCGTTGTCGGTTAAAAAGTCACTAAGTCAATGGAATTCACAAAAACATTGGCGACAGAAATTTCCTGTTCAACGAACATTGGTACCAACATTTATTATTATTATTCTGCTAACGCCTACATGTAGGCAATTTAAAGACACATACACCAAAGTAGGAATCTGCATTGCATTTCTGCAATAGTTCGAGTTTATAATATAGACGGGGCGATGCGATAAAATATTAAATTCATAATTTTAAATAATTATATTTGAAATTTACCGTATTTATAGTAAAGTGAAAAGTTCTGTAGGTAAGGTTGACAAAAATATACTCTTTTTATATCAATTATCTGTTGACTTCTTTCATTTTTCAGAATTGTAAAATAATATTAATAATATTTGATATTTTGATACAAATAAGGAGACACTTGCTGAAATAGTCTCGGAAACTGGGTGAGTTAATATTAATTTTTATAATAACATATGTTCTAAAACCGACAAGAAACATAAGTAATAGGTATATTAATATAAAACATTGATCTCAGTTCTTATCCTGTTTGCTGTCTTTTAACATGGGAAAACATAATATATTAGAATAATAATCAAAAAATTTATTTAGTTAGACAATTTCTTTATTAATTGAAAGTTGACATATTATTGGGAAAAAAGTCTAGGTCAGAATGTAAGAAAATGTACAGAAGTTTGGCACCAAAATAAATTTTCATTTCACAAAGTGTATTTCTAGTATATTGAAAGGGAAGGGAACCTCTGCAACATCTTTCTTTTTTGTTAAATTTTTACAAATGCCTGATTATTAATTTTTACTTAAAATTAATTTGTTAATAATGTTTAACATATAAGTAGAGCTTATCTCAAAATATATCGTCTTGGCTTTCCCCTTATTATTATCTATAATAGTTTTAATTAACTGTATGACAGTGACACTCAGAGTAGGAGAACTATTTTCCTCCCTCACTTTTACTTTGACTTGACGCCACATATGCTCAATTCAATAGGGTTAAATACACAATGGTAACCGTGTAATGACGTAACACGCCCCATTTGCTTTGCTAAGTTATACATACCTACATGTTGTTTTTTAATATTAAATGAATTTAATGTTAATATTGTTAATAATATTAGATCGTCTAACTAGAAAAAACTTCCTTGTAATAAAATAATGACTGTGACTTATTGTTATTTTATTTCCATCACAATTGACATTTATACTTGTCTAAACTACTAAACTTAACTCATTAACTTATTTACAACATAGGATGGTAAATTACGTAGATGCCTTCTTCATTCTGCTTTAACACCTTCCCTCATTGAGTAATTTTCCAACCCGATTTCAAAAAGTAATTTTTTCATTCTATTTGAAAACAGCGGCTTCGTCAAAACATCCGCTAGCTGATTTTCAGATGACACCTTTACTACTTCAAGTGATCCATCCAATACCATTTCTCTAACAAAAAAATGTCTAATATGTATATGTTTAGTCCGGCGATGAAACTCGGGATTCTGCGTTAATCGTATGGCTGATTCATTGTCGACATGTAGTGTCGGAACCAAGCTAACGCCGGTTAATTCCGTAAATATTCTTTTTAACCAAACTATTTCTCGTGCAGCGTCACTTGCAGCTACTATTTCTGCCTCTGTTGTGGATATGGCTACTGATGTTTGTCTCTGACTAAACCAAGATACAGCTGCTCCAGCATAAAGACACAATACCCCAGATCTTCCGGTTGTTATATCACCTCCATGATCAGCATCACTATAGCTTGTTAACTTAGGTTGTATATCTGGCTTTCGCATATAAGTTAAGCCATAATTTATTGTCCCATTCAAATAGCGGAATATTCTCTTAACTTTTACATAGTCGTTTGGACTTGTATTTTCTAATTTCCTGGATACAACACTAACAGCATAAGCTATATCTGGACGTGTACCCGTCATTAGGTACATAAGAGCACCCACAGCTTCGCGATATGGAAAACAAGTATTCGATTCTATTTCACTAGTTTCCTTCCCTAATTGGATAGCTTCTTTTACAATCGGGGTCGAGACCGGTCTGCTATTTTCCATGCCAAAACGTTCTAGCACCTTTCTTGTATAAGCTGACTGAGTAATACTTATGGAGTCGTCTTGATTTCTTTCGATTTCCAAACCTAAGAAATATGTAGCTGGTTTAACTGTTATTTTAAACTTCTCCTGAAGCTTTTTCAAAAAATTCATCTTCATTATTTCATTTGTACATGCTATTAGACCATCGTCAACATACAGCACTAATATTAACATGTCTTTTCCTTAGATTTTAATAAATAAACATGGATCTGCAGTACTTCGTTTAAAGCAAAGCGAATCTATAAAGTTTCCAAAACGCTTATTCCAACACCTTGGTGCCTGTTTTAATCCATATAAACTTCTCTGGAGATGACAAACCATACCACTACCATCATCATAGCCTTCTGGTTGTTTCATGTATACTTCTTCGTCTAGAGTACCGTACAGAAATGCAGTACAGACATCGAATTGTGTAAGTGACATGTTTTTACTAGCAGCTATACTTATAAAGGCTCTTATCGTACCACCTTTAGCTACTGGACTGAACGTTTGTTCATAATCTTCACCTTTTCTTTGTGAATAACCCTTCACTACCAAACGAGCTTTGTATTTATCAATTGAACCATCTGGATTGGTTTTGAGTTTATACACCCATTTACAGGGAATTGCTTTTTTATTTTCAGGTAAATTTTTCAAAATCCATGTACAATTCTCTTTTAATGACTGCATTTCATGCTCCATTGCCAGCCTCCAGTTATCTTTTTCACAACAAACAGTTGCTTCTTTGTAACTAAGTGGTTCTTTGGTGTCGTTTATTTCAGCAGCAACCATCATAACGAACTCGTCAAAGCGTGTTGGCTTCTTAATGTTTGATCTTTCTCTCAGTTGTCTTCTAAATTCTATATCTTCTTCTAAGCTTTCTTCTGGTTCACAACATTGGTTTTCTTCTTGGTCATATGGGTCCATTTCTTCCATACTATCACTAATTTCATCGACAATATCTATTTCTTCTGTATCAGAATTATTTTGAACAAAATCCAATACATCTACTGTAGGTTGCAAACTTTGAAACTGTTTGGATTCTTTTAGCACACCGAGAGTTTCAAATTCATTAAAAATAACGTCTCGTGAAAGTATTAGTCTATGCCGTTCTTCTGACCAAATCCTATATCCATCATCATTTTCATAACCCACGAGTATACCTTTAATAGATTTCTTATCCAATTTTCTCCTGCAAAGTTTAGGAACGTGAGCATAACAAGTACTGCCGATTACTCTTAAATGTTTAAGTTCAGGCTTCTTGTTAAACCATATTTCATGTGGTGATTTATCAGGAATACCGGACATACCAGATCTGTTTAAGATATATGTAGCTGTGTTTACTAATTCAGCCCAAAATGTTTGATCAAAGATACCTTCTCTTGCATGCATTAAAGATCTTGCGCATTCGACAATCGTTCTGTTATCACGTTCTGAACAGCCATTTTGTTGTGGTGTGTACGGCATCACCAATCTTTGTTTTATTCCATATTTGTTTAAAATATTTGCTACTCGATGATTATCAAATTCTCCACCATGATCTGACAGAAATTCTTTCACACCATATCCTGCAGCTTTTATTTCTTTTAAAACAATATCTAATTTATCAGCAACTTCTGACTTTTGCTTTAAAAAAATATACAAATCGGTATCTGCTAAAATCATCTTTAAATAAAACATAATATTTAAAACCGGATTTTGATTCATTGAAAGGCCCACAAACATCCGAATGGATCAGTTCTCCTGGAGTTTCTGCTCTTTTTCTTATGCCAAACTTTTTCACGGAAGCTTTTCCATAAACGCAGCCCTCACATAATTCACTATCCAGCTTCACATCTATGTTAAATTCTTGTTTAATTACATCTTTAACATGTCTTTTGCTTTGATGACCCAGCCTTTCGTGGTAAAGTTGCAATATATTTTCTTTAGAAGTAACCATACTGACACTCACATTTTCAGATTTGATTGCCTGCATCTTCAGTTTATATAGTCCACCAGACTTACATCTAGATCCAACAATAATTGTTTCTTTATAAATATTAAAATAGCAGCACTCAGTGGTGGAAATAAATTTACTTTCTGGATGTTTGTCTTGAGCAGACAAAGTTGAGAAAAGATTTTTCCTGATATTGGGAACATACCATACGTTGGTCAATAAAAACTCTTTCTTCTTTCCTTTTACAAAAGATTGTATTTTGATGGTACCCTGTCCTAATGCCGCAACTGCATATCCATTAGCTGTTGTTATTGTTTGCTCTTCGCTAAACGGTTCATACGATTGGAATACACTTTGTTGATTTGTTATGTGATTAGTCGCTCCATTATCAACATACCAATTTTTAAAATCTGCTTCGCAATTCAACACATTCGATGATACAGCCACTAAGGACATCTGAGTTTCTTTAGCTTTAGTATTTGTATGTTTTTTCGAATTTTGTGGTTTAGGAGGCCTTCCATCGGCTTTCCATTTATCGCATTGCTTCACTTTATGACCTTTTTGCTTACAGTAATTGCAAGAATAACTATATTTATGTGCTTTACTCTTATTCACTGTATATAAAACTTCTTGCTTGCTCTCATTTTTATTTGTTAATGCTTTTTCATAAGAGCATAGCTGATTTGTCAAGTTATCTATTGTTCTGTCTTTATTTGATACCAGAATCCAACTAGACTTAAATGAGAAATATTCAGCTGGTAGAGTTTCTAATATTTTACAAATAAGCAAAATATCTGGCAAGTCGCACTTACAATTATTTCCAGCAACTGCTTTATCTTTGAAAATTTCGCTTTGCAAATTGTTCCAAAGGTTTTTAAGTTTTGATGAATGAGTAGCAATATCGTCATCTGATTGTCTAGTATAACTAAAAAATTGCATACAGATATCATAGGTTT